GGTAATTATTTTGTCTCAGTGCACTAGCTAAGATCTCAAGTGCAATATAGAATATAACTGTGCAAACAGATATCCTTGAATTGTTTCTGATCTTAGGGAAAAGTAATCATTATTTCATCATAAATATGAAGTTGGTCATGGATTTTTAGCTGACTTTGTTTTGAATTTCACTGAAGCTTTCCTGAATTTCATAAACTCAGTTTTTCTGAGTATTTTTAGACCATGTATATGAGTTCTCTAGATATTTACTTAATATAATTTTATATACAGTTAGTTGTCAAAGAAATTTCCCATTAGGGTATAAGCTGTATTTGATTATTTATTGTCATTTCATTTATTTCTATATTTGATTTGTCAATTTTGTTATTTTGTGTCTATTTTCATTATTTGTATTAGTATTTAATACCCTAATCAGCTTTTCTCTTCAGTTATACTGTCATCATAAGCTGTACTTAAACTACTTTCTCTCCTTGTGCTGTCCAAAAAAGTTTGAGATCAGTTTTATTTGTTGTTTAAATGTTCCATACAACTCACAAGTAAAACCTGTGGCATGGAGAGTTTTGCTGGGAGGTTTATTTAATTTATGTTTTGAGGGTGCCTGTTTTATAATTTGTGTCTCTCAAGGAATATATTTATATTAATTACTGAAATCATTGACGAGAACTGTTTTATAATATTCCATTATTGTTTCAATGCTTGTAGTATTTAATGATATCCCTTCTTTCTTTATATTAGTCATTTGTGGTTTCTTGCTTTTTACATAATATTTATTATTAATAATAATATTTATTAATATTTGTTTTTGTTCTTAGTATTGCAGATATTTTTTGACTAATACTTGTTCTATATTTTGTTAATTTATGGTCCTATTTTTATCATTTGCAGTGTTCTACTTATTTTTGTTAAATTTGCTTTCCTTTTCTTGCTTTCTCAAGGGATAAATTTAGATCATTTATTTATTTTATGTAAGTAAAAGGCAGTGCAACCAGCTACTACATAATA